ATCAAATTTGTTTTTTATTTTAAAAAAAGAGGTTTTGTGCAAATCAACTATTTGCATGATGTGGACGTCACATGTCGCTAAGTTTGTATATAGTGGATTCAAATAAGGCACATGAAGGAAATATTGTCTTGTTATAAAAACATGGTGGCGGTACATGAAATCGGAAGGATACGTAATCGACACAGAAGTTGATCGCGTGGAATTGGATGCCATATAATTGTCTAAAACCCTCGATAATGAAGCGCTCAAACATTGATATTTACGATTATGCGAACTTAGTTTCGTATGCTCGTAAATAGGGGGGAGTAGTTGATATGGATATATCGGCCTAACATGATAAACTCCCACGAAACCGGGGTAGAGCGAGCCAAGGGACGATCTTTGGGCCTAGCATCGACCGGCTTACACATGGGGCTCGACCCCTGGACCAATGTGGGAACTCGACCCGCTGACCCGTGTAGGGGCTCGACCCATCGACCCTCAACCCTCAACGTAACCACTCGACCCTAGTCCCTTAACATCGACCCTCGAGCACTAACTCTAGCATCAACCGACGAAGGTGCTCGACCGAGAGCATATTGTGGGGGCGTTTGTTACTCAGTAGTAGACGTGGTGAAATTTATGACCCCGAGAACAATTAACTGCTATATAAAGGGTAAATTGCCCAAGGGGAAGGTAAGACATCATTTAATATTCTACTACAACATTTATCACAGATAATTTTTCTCTATCCGAGATCCTAACTTGGGCGTCGGAAGGCTTGCGCCGGAGAAATTCCGGCGCGCTTTCAGGTACCGGAGAACACTCAAGCTCGGACCGGACTGAATCAAGTGAGCAAACGTTGTAACCGGTAAGAACCTTCCGCAAGACCGAAGCCACCGATCTCGGACCATATCAAGGGTATAATTAATGTTGTTGCTCTTTAGTTATTAGTTGAATTTAATATCATTCTACTATAGCAATATATATATTTCTTCACTTATTTATTTTAATACAAATATTTAACTTTCAAGAGCCCGTGAGTTTCAGGGAAGTTATTATCAGTCGAATAAATTAATTATTCTATTTTATTTTGACATATATATATTAAATAAAACAAATAATACTTCATAAAAATATTTTTTAGAATTCGAAGTAACATTAAAAAAATACTTTCTTATTAATTATTTACAGTTTTTCGTTTCACAAAAAGAATTTTATTTTTTTCAGTTTTTGTTGGACAATTAGATTTTTATGAATAATATATAGTTCATGGAGGTTGTACTAGTGTAATTTATATACAAATATTCGTATTTTGGGGGCTAATATAAGAGTACAATTACTATATTTGTGACAATATACATATTAAAGAGTTTTGTATGTTGGGCTAATATAAGAGTACAATTGTTATATCTGTAACAACATGCATATCAAGAGCATAGAAATGCTCCCCTACCCACAGTGGGCACATGTTAATATGCCCACCGCGTATGTGACATGCACTCATTGGTGATGTTAATATGTTTAAAAAAATACATCACCAATGAGTGCATGTCATCTACGCGGTGGACATATTAACATGTGTCCACCGTGGGTAGGTGAGCATTTCTCATCAAGAGTAGGGACAACTTAGAATATTTGGCCTTACCATTCCATAATCAAAATACGTTTCTCATACTACTATAATTAGACATTATTTTGGTCAAGATTGCTCAATTCAGCAAAAAAATGGCAACCTAGGCTGTTATAATTCCAGATCTAGTAGTTTCATAGGGAGTGACGGCTAAAACACCGCCGGCCGGCCGACCTAGAGCATAGAGCATGGTATCCTAACCATCTACATTCCCAAAGTCAGAATTTCTTGTGCTTCATTAATACATAAATTGAGAGGCCAAAGGCATTCTCCACCCACCCAACCCTTAAATTTTTTAAGAGAAAATAGTTATTTCCACTCACTATGAAGATAGTTAAATTTTTCATAATGAAAATAAAAAAATTCAACTTTTTCACTCCAATAAATGTGAAATAAATTATGTAATAAACTGTGCGACAAGCAAGTGTAGATAATTGATAAATTGCACTATAATTATGCAATAATGATGTGATTGACAGAAGAAAATAACTGAAAGTGTGAAATACTTATGCGATAAACTATGTTGTAGACAACGAAGATAATCGAGAAAGTGCTAAAGAATTATGAGATAACCGATGCGGCAGACATGCGAAGATAATCGAGCATGTGCAAAATAATTATGCGATAAACTATGCAATAGAGGGGCAAAAATATACGATAAACATACGGAATTAATTGATAAAAAGTACAAATAATTATGCGACAAAGTATGATAGACAAGCGAAACTAATTGGGCAAATGTAATCACTTATGCGGAAACTATGCTACAAAAAGACGAAGTTAATCGAGCAAGTGCAATCTTATTCTGCGATAAATTAGGCGATCTTATTCTGCGATAAATTTGGCGAAAGACATGCGAACTGATAGTCGAGCAAGTGCGACTTCATAATGCAATGAACTTAGACATGTCAAAACGAGCATGGAGGGTCTTCGCCCTCCCGTTGTCGCCACACGCATGAAAATATTCATCAATTCGAAGTTTGAAAACCTATTACTTTCAGTACTGAATCTCAGATCCTCAAATGTGAAATGTCTCTCGATTACATAATATGAAGATACTCGCATTAATGGTGGCATGCCTGAAACACTTGGGTTTTCCTTCTCAACAACAGATTTTCAAGACTTTTAATTTTATTCGAAATTTTATTGAATAAGAAATTTTACAAACTTTTTTAAATTTTAAGAATCCCAATAGATTTTGTTTAGGATTTCCAAAATTTTTAAAAGTTTGAGTTTATTCATACGATAATTCAGAACTCTTTAAAAGTCATGAGATCTTTAGTATATTTATTGTTGAGATTTGCTTGGACTTTTTAAAGCTTGTCGAAATTCCATAAACAAAATACATAAATAAAATGTCGCAACTCAATCTCATATCCAAATTTAAAATTTCTAAGAATTTCATTAAATTCCAATTTTAAAAGAGTTACAAAATCCCTCAAATGAATACACTCTCTAAATCTGAAATTTTATGCAAGGATTTTCCAATAAGTACTTTACCTTTCAAATCTCAGTAAATTTTAAAAAATCCAAACGAATCTCAATTATAATATTCAACACATCACAACTTGTAACTCTTTTATTTTTATAATTTCAAATCGAATATTTCCAAAATTTTAAAAATAAAAAAAAAAATAAATAAATACACTAAAAATTTTTAAAATCTCACAAAAGTCTTAAAAAAATCATGGATGAATACTAAATTTTGTCAACTTTTTTTCTTTTAATATTGTTAAAATTGGGTGAAGAGAACCTAAAGTCGTGGTCCATACAGTACGCTTTTAACTCGAATTAAATTTTTGTGTACAAATTTGCCCCTACTTAGTACTTCCCACATGTAACACGACATTCATTTCACTCGGCTGACTTATAAAACCTGAAAGTTGAAACACTAATTGTGTATTTATTTATTTCCCCTCACAATCTCTCTGATCTCTCTACAAAAGGAGATCATTATCACTTGCATTTCTGGATTTTGTTCCAAAGAGAACGAACAGGAAGAAGTACAAAGATGAAGCAAGCTACAGTAACCATGGAGGTCAACGACGGCGTGGCGATCGTCGCCATATCCAACCCACCCGTGAATGCGCTCGCGCTCACAAGTCAGTCTCATAATTAGTTATTATTACTGTGTGATTATGTGATTGGACTGTGGGTTGATGCGTTTTGATTTGGGCTTCTTTTCGATATGTAGTTTTTGATGGGTTGAAGGAGAAGTTTACTGAAGCCATGAGGAGGAATGACGTTCTAGCTGCTGTTCTGTGCGGTAATTTTTTTTTTTTTTTTTTAAAAGCTGATGGTTCTTCCTTGTCTTCTTCTCCATTGAGTTCTGTTTCTTTGTATTTGTATGTTGTAAGGAAACTCAAAGATTGCTTGATCGTTGCTGTGAGAATGATATGGGTTTTGATTGAGTTACCGTTCTGTTTAAATTTTTAGAAATTTGGTGGAGACACGTTTCATGTGTGGTTTTGATTGGTGTTGAAGATATTAGAGTATTTGTGATGTTACCTGAATAACTGAAAAGGTTGGTTGATGATTTCAAGTGCATCTGTGAATATCTTTGTTGTTCATCATAGGATAACTACTTTCATGAGGTGAATCGGTTTTGTGGTTTGTCCATCAGTCCATGTATGTAAACAATCACGAAACAGTCGAACTTCATGATTGGCTGGAACTGAAAGTTATTACTTTAGTTGCTCATACTAGTGTCATGTCCCTTAGATGGAGTGCTGGCCACAGTCGTAATTACCTCGGAATTGTAATACTTATAAACTTGTGAAGGTTTTTATGGTTGAAAAATTATTCTTTTCATTGCAATTTGAAGGAAACGGCGGTAAATTCTCTGGCGGCTTCGACATAAATGTTTTTGAGATGGTGCATAAGTCAGGTGCGTGTTTTTGTATGTTTTTGATAGAAACTTTCCACACACTTGAAAATTAATTAGATTTTTTTTTTTTTATTGCAGGAGATGTCTCTGTCTTACCTGATGCATCAATTGACATCTTGGTCAATATAATAGAAAGTCCGTAGCTAATTTGGTATTTCATGAATTTTCAAATATAAGATGGTTTTACTGATTTTTCCCTTAAACTTATATGCTGCTAAATGTTCTTCTCGTTAGATGCAAAGAAGCCTGTTGTTGCTGCCATGGAGGGGCTTGCACTTGGAGGTGGCTTAGAACTCGCCTTGGTTTGTCTCACCTCTATCTATAATTAGATATGTTTAAACTCCAAAGTTTGCGCAGTTCTTTTTTATAGATAAGTTTTGACTCCTAGTTCGTATTTTACAGGCTTGCCATGCACGTGTTGCTGCACCTAAAACACAACTTGGTCTTCCTGAACTGACTCTTGGTGTTATTCCTGGCTCTGGAGGTAGAGCTGCCTCATACTTAGCTATTTTTCTCAATTGGTTAGGAGCTCAAAGCAGAGTTCATTGGTGTGTGACAACTAAATGATATTGATCATTTTTCATTCAAGGCACACAACGACTTCCACGGCTGATAGGTTTGCCGAAAGCTCTTGAAATTATGCTGGTAAGTGACCCTTATGAACTTGACGATAATGCAAAAAGGACAGGTAGAATTCAGTTGGGTGCGAAATATGCATATTGTATGATAAAGTTTGGAAAACAAAAAATTTACCATTTGATTTTGCCCTTTATATATTGCTCCTCGTACCTCATTTTACTTGGTCATTTGATGATTAACTAGTGTATCGTTTATTTATAGAAATTCCCTATCACTCTACTCACCTATAATATGCTGGCTTGAAAAAAGGAAAAGGGAGAAGCGACAATGATTTGATGTGATTCAAGTTACTCACTCCGAGCATTGTGCATTCCCACAGCCTGGTTATTGAATTGTGTCACGTTTAGTTCATGACATACCCTTTTATGTGTTGAAATGGTATTTGGGTTAGTAATAAATTATATCTAAATCACTGGTCATTTAGTTTGCAAACATGTGAAGTTAAAGAGTGTTCCACCCGGCTGCCGAGTCTCACTTTTTGTTAATACTTCATATGTGTTTTCTTCTTTTACCTGCTGATTTATGGAGGTATCAATAATTGCAATAATTGTATTAGTTAAAGTAACCCGGCAACAGTTGCAGTTATAATACACTTCAACTTCACTGCTCTTATGTGTCTTTGGGCAGATTTGAAACAAGACAACATTTTGAACTAATGTGATGGAAACCTATGTATCAAAGAAAAACATGATTACAATCCCTAATGCTTGTACTGGTTGAGTTTGCATCATTTAGCATCTTCTTTGTTGTGCAAAATTTTTAAATGGATTTTTCCAAAAAAAAAAATGGCTACCTTCCATTGAGTATTGTTCTTGTGATAATTGCATACAAGTGTTGAGTGTGCATTGTTGTTTATTCAATGACTACTGGTTACAGTTATCTAAGATGATAACATCAGAAGAAGGAGAGAGGCTTGGCCTTGTTGATGCTGTTGTACCTTCAGAGGATTTGCTAAAGGTCTCTCGACAATGGGCGTTAGACATTGCAGGGAGGCGCAAACCATGGATACGTTCTCTTCATAGGACAGATAAAGTTGGTAACCTGCTTGAAGTGCATGATATTATAAAAGCTGCTCGACAACAGGCTAAACAGACTGCAAAACATTTGCCTCAACACCAAGCATGTCTTGACGTGATTGAAGAAGGAATCATTCATGGTGGATATCATGGAATTCTGAAGGTAAATTTATGCCTAGAACTCTATTGTTAAATTACATTTCAAATTGATTAGACATGAAAGCATCATAAGACTTCTACTTGTAAAAAAGATTTATGGCCTTGTCTGTTATATTTTTAAGTGATATCTCATTTTTGTATTTCTGTTAGGGATTTGGTTTTGTTTTCGGTTTGTGTTGTATATCGATGAATGAATAAGAATGAAATTTGTATAGTTTCGATTCAGAGCATGTCATGTTGTGTATAATTTTATGCGCTCAAGTGTGTGATAAAGATGTAAGTATATTTTATTTTTGTGTTTTGTGATATGAACTCTGAAATTTTATTTTTGATCTGGTAATTTGTGAACTTGGTAGGAATCACCTTGAGTGTGCCTACCATTCCATGATATCCGGGGTTGCTATTGATGTTATAGATTGAGCAGCAGCTAATTTTACCAGCTTCCAATCACATCCATCTTTGTTCCTATACGGGGATACTTATGGTTGTTCCATCGGAGAAATGCATTGAACCTCAAAATATGTTCCATTAGAGCCTCTATACGATTTCCTTAATCACTTGCAATAATATCATCTTTCAGGAAATTCTGTTAATAAGATCGACTTGATACCCAACATTGGCTTCTATCTCAATATGGCTGGTTTTCTTATCTTTCTGGGACGAGGGCTTTCCCATGAAGACACAGGAGAGCGAAACCTATATGTTATTGGTTTCGGAGCAATATATGAACAATATTTCGGTGGTTCTTTTTTCAACAATTTTTTGACAATGACATGTGCCTGCACCATAGTTTCTTAGGCACTGTGCACATGTATTTTTAAGTCAATATCTGACATAAAAAAGTGTGGAGGTCGTGATCTAATCTTCTTACAGGCACAAATATTCTAAACTGTGCTGAGCAAAGTATGACTCTTGATGTCAGTTTCCTGATAATCTACTAACATATATGGATCAAATGTTTGTTGCAGGAGTCAAAGGTCTTCAAAGAGCTTGTCTTGACAGACACTTCTAAAGGTCTAGTGCATGCATTTTTTGCTCAAAGGGCAACAACAAAGGTAAAAGTTACTCATCATGGATAAGTTTTCTGAATAATATTCCCTTGGAACACTTCTCCCTGATGAGACTTCGTTAGAAAAAAAAAATGTTCAAACGGAACATTTTATTACTAGAATGGATTATTATATATTTTTATCAGCATGAGTGAACAGCTCATTTAATGGCTTGCTTACACTCGCAAATGATTCTCCATGATACAATATAGGTCTGTGACAGGTCTACCAGTAACTGGGTGTTGAATATCACAGCTAAGAATGAATATTAGTTGTTGTCACCTGAACTAATCTTTTTTTATTTGCTCTCTTTGGCTGAATTGACCTGATTTACTTGAGGACAATCTTACCTCTTATGTTTCTTCTTCATTTTCTTCTTTTTTTTTTTTTTTTTTTTTTCTTTCTTTTGTCTTTCCTATTTCTTTTGCCATTTTCACCTTTAACCTGATGGTTTTTCATTATTTTAGGTGCTTGATCCAGTTTAATATACACCATGCATAGTCTGACGTCCAAGCATTTTTCCTAGTTCATGTTAATATCTTGTACTATATCTATGGTTCCTCATGCGGACTTGTCGAGCCTAGATGGGGTCTAGTATCCTTCTCCTGCAATTGTTATTAACTGAAATCGGCTATAGCTATTTTTCTTTTTCTTGTTGTGGCTTTTATTGAGTATCGGAAAGCAACTTTTCTTTTTCCTGTAACAAAATCAAAGGTCATATTTTACAGGTGCCCAATGTTTCTGATATTGGACTTAGTCCAAGACGACTTAAGAAAGTTGCTGTTATTGGTGGAGGACTGATGGGCTCCGGCATAGCTACAGCTCTGATCTTGAGTGATATATACGTTATTCTCAAAGAAATCAATTCTGAATATCTTCAGAAGGGGATAAAGGCTGTCGAAGGTTAACTGAGATTTACTTTTAGCTAATATTTAAGTTGATGTGGCTAGTCCATCCTAGTGTTTGCCTGTAGTTAAAGACTTCCCAGAATATTGTTCATTTGTGTTGTGTATTTCCGCATCAGATGTGAATACATATTCTGGTTACTGCAGATACTAGTAGGAATTGTTTACTTTCTTATTTATCATGAAAATAAGCTTATTTTCCACTTTGTGAGGGAGAGTAAGCTTAGTTTCCACTGATAGCATAACCTGCCAATTCAAAATAGTAGTCATGAACGTCTGCTTTTTGTGCTTAACTCGGGAAAAAAAAAAAAGAGAGAAAAGTAAGAAAAATTGCCAACTATTACTATTGAGTAATAATTGTGATTAACTGGGGCTTCATTGTTTTAATGCTCTGTTTAGTTTCTCACTAAATTCATATCTTTGTACTTGTGTGGCAGTGAATATCCAGAATTTGGTGTCACGGAAAAAGTTGGCACGTGATAAAGCGGAAAAAGCTCTTTCGATACTTAAAGGCGTTATGGACTACTCTGATTTCAAGGATGTGGATATGGTTATTGAGGTTAGTTGGAAAAATTATGCTTTTGAATTTCCAATTATGTGAATAACCTATGTTATTCTAGCTTTTGGATGGATGAATAATTAAAAACTATTTCCAGCAAAGAATAGTCAAGTGCTCATGAAAAATAAAAAAAAAAATTAAAAAAAAAAAAAAAAAACACAATGTTAAGCAGAATCCATGCCAGTTTGGCAGTATTTTGTAGGTTAAATGAAGCCTTCAGATTATTATATGCTGAAGTAGCCGAGGGATGTTGGATTTGACTTCTCTGTATTTTTTTATTTTTTTTTTCAAAGTGAAGTCTTAGTCTATAATTTATATGATCCAGGTCTGATTTTTATTTACTGAAAAAACCTGTCATTTCCTTTACAGAGTCAAAATAATTCAGAGTTTGAAATTTGAATGTATAATGTCGGACTTTTTGTAATCATATGTTGAAACGCATTCTGCCTTTACACTTTAGATGATCTATAACATCAATTTCTTGCCTTAATTTTTCTTTATTTTAGTTGCATCAGGCCAATAAGTAGTAGGTGTGTCCTGCCAGATCTTATTGTTAATTTCAAATTCTTGCTAGCGTAGACTTTGGAAAAGGTAACCAGATATCGTCTCTGTAATGCTGATGTGTCCAAACATGAACTGATGCCCCTCTAGTCAGCAAAGAACGAAGTCATAACCTATTCAAATGAACTATTGCAGCAACTCTTTCTTCCTGCTGTAGCCTCTAATACACATCTATCAATCTCTTGATCTAGTAGTTCACTTGAAAAATCTGCTCCATATTATAGTCAACCTCCTAATGCTGAGTTTTAAATTTGGTTCTTCCACAAATTTCCAATCAAGTACTTCACTATGAAATCTATTCTTTCGTAGGCTTTTATGCAACCTATCTGAACTCTCTGAATTTGATCTAAGGCAAGAATAGATGAACTTATAAGTTGTCCTACACCATGGCAGTTGTTGGCTGTGGTGTTAATATTTCCGTCAAGTGTTTTGATTTTCTTCAATAAGTTGTGTATTTTTGCAGGCTGTTATAGAAAATATATCCCTGAAGCAGAAAATATTTGGTGATCTTGAGAAGGTTTGCCCGCCTCACTGTATCTTGGCTTCAAATACCTCTACTATTGACCTCAATATAATTGGAGAGAAGACCAAATCACAAAATCGGATAGTGGGTGCACATTTTTTCAGGTTATCTTCTTTTTATTAATCTTTTGAATTGTTACACCTATTGTGCTTGAGAGAGACGAAATTTAAGTATCTAGAGGACCATTAGTCTCCCATGTCTCTGAGCAGATATGAAGTTTGATGAGAACTGGCACAAATTTAACCTCCAGGATCATATCAAGGACCATATAGATGCAACTTGAACAATTTTCTATGTTGAGCATCTCGTACATTGATACAATATTTTCTTGATATGTATGATCTACTGCATTGAATATCAGAATATGTATGCTAAAATTTTCTCATGAGATAAAGTAAACTTAGGACGGTTTTAATGTGATACAAAAAGCTATACTGCATACGGTTTCAAAGCATAAGATAATAGTATGTTAAGAGTCTTGAATTTTGAGAAAGGTATTGTACTGACCAAAGATGTTATCAATCATATACTTCATGAAACATTAACCATGCTTAAGTTATATGCTCCATCATCGTGAACCCTCTAGAGGAGGTAGGACGGGCAGTTGGTCGATCTTCACTCTCTGTGGCATACTTATGAAGGAAATTCACCGACCACCTTCCTCATTGCTGCACTTATAGCCCTCATTTGTTTATAGATTTCACGAAGTTCATTTGGGTAAAATGTCACTGTTAATATAAACAAAAGCTACTTTGTATGATTTGGAACTGGGTGTTAATACCGCTAGAATCTTGTGTGGAATAGTTTAGTATATTCTATTGCTTATTAAAATTTTATTGTTGATAGTCCTGCTCACGTGATGCCACTCTTGGAGGTTGTACGGACTGAGAAAACTTCTCCCCAAGTAATTCTGGATCTAATGACTGTTGGGAAGGCCATAAAGAAAGTTCCTGTAGTAGTTGGAAACTGCACTGGGTTTGCAGTCAATAGGACATTCTTTCCCTACAGTCAAAGTGCACATCTTTTGGTTAACATGGGTGTGGATGTTTTCAGAATTGATCGGCTTATCCACGACTTTGGTCTTCCAATGGGTCCATTCCAGTAATTTTCTTTCCTTCAGCGAATGTTCTATTAAGCTTTACTTTTTTTTTTTTTTTGGTTGTCCTGTGGCAAATGCTGGTGTTTTTATTCGAATACCTCTAAAAAATGTGCTTGTTGATGATATACCTTTATATTTTATGTTTAATGTGGCCTTATAACAAATTATTTACTATTGATTCATGTTTCTGCTCCAGGCTTCAGGATGTTGCAGGATATGGAGTAGTTGTTGCAACAACAAAAGAATTTTCTTCATCGTTTCCTGATCGAACCTTTGAATCTCCACTGGTTCAGCTTCTCTTGAAAAATGGGAGGAATGGTAAGGTTTTAATTGTTTTCAGGCTTGCAGTCAAAGTTCTGATTTTACTTCAGATGATAACTGGCATGCATTACTTCCTTGCAGGTAAAAATAATGGAAAAGGATATTATATCTATGAGAAAGGAAGCAAGCCAAAACCTGACCCTACTGTGCTCCCAATAATTGAAGAATCTAGGAGGCTTACCAACGTCATGCCCGGTGGAAAGGTAGTTGCAGCTGATTTTACCCTTTCATGAGAAAACTAGTGCATAGATGTTATATAAATGTGACTGCTATATAACCTACTTACGCTTTCATAATTTGTTAGGAGTTATTTTTCTTACTTGGTATTTGATGCAGCCCATATCTGTTAGCGATGAAGAGATTGTCGAGATGATCCTCTTTCCAGTGGTTAACGAGGCATGTCGGGTTTTAGATGATGGCATAGTTGTCCGTGCATCCGATCTTGATGTTGCCTCTATTCTTGGCATGAGTTTTCCATCTTATCGGTCAGTTCTTCAGTCTTCACCTTGTAAATTTAAGATTATGATTATCAAACTTTTTCCCTTCACTATTTAATTTCCGTGTGTGGTATCTAGTCTGAGTCCCAAATCCTTTTCTTGCGTAGGCATATGGAAATGAGATAACTACATTTTCTTCTTTGCATTAGTAACAGTTGTTAGCAACTAAATTTCGACATGGTTCACTCCAATTTAGAGAATATGCTACCTGTAGTTTGGAATTTTTTAGCGTTCATAGTTATTTTATAGTTCTGTAATGATTTATTTGAAGGAATAGTAATAAACACTGAAAATGTTTGTCTTGTATTGCAGTGGCGGTCTTATTTATTGGGCGGACACTGTTGGAGCACATCACGTGTACAGAAGTCTCCAGAAATGGTACAAAACATATGGGAGTTTCTTTAAACCATCAAGATTTTTAGAAGAAAGAGCAACTGCAGGCATCCCATTGGTATGTATTCTCTCAAAGCTTAGTATTTGTAGGGAGACACTATTAATATCTGTTTTAGCATAAAATATAACCTAAAAATTGTTATAATCTAGACTGTTATTCACGATAACATCGGATTCAGAGCAAAAAAGCTTTAAGTGGCACGGAATTGCATCTTTTTTATGCAAATGGCATTATCGCATTTCACATCATCAGAAGACTGCTGAATTTAAACCAAAACGAACTTTATACTTATTGTTCTCTTTCTGATAAGAAACGGATTATAGTTGATACATAGAAAAGTACAGAACTCAAGGGCCGAGGAAACCAGAAAACAGGAAAGATAGACCACAAGACACAGCACCCTCTTTCATTTCCTGCCTCGACTGAGCCTTACAAATGTGCCTTAATCATAGCTTATCACTTATCAGTAAACTTGGTCCAAATGCATTGTGTTAAATTATCCCCTAGCTTACTTGACCAACTTTCTGTCTTTCTCACTTCTCAGTTTATAGCGTTTTCAGCCATGAAAAGTCGATTGGTTCAAAACCATATCGCTGACTTTCCCTAAGCCAGCATTGTGTGTGCTTGTATGTACTAATGCATGTATTTCACTCGACAGTCCTGTTTTATGCTTATGCAGAGTACACCACCTGGTTCCACATCTTCAATAGCTAGGCCACGTCTATGATTATGATATACTCGTGATCCGGTTCACGTGTGACGGGAGAAAACATCTTTTTTTTCGCGATTGACAATTGTTATAATGATGGTTAGTGACAATACATCACCAAAAGAATAACATCACTAGCTTCTTTAGACTTTCCTCACTTGAACAACCCCTCAATGTCCAGAAACATTTTGTCAGTGTCTGGAAGAAACAATATTCAGAGTGATTTTCCTTAGACCTTTGAAGTCGTGTGTTCTTTTATGTGTGTGAGAGATTAATATTTGATGTATTATCTTCATATTTTGTTATGAGAAATGTAGTTTTTTTATTTTTTATTTCTAACTTTTTGTAATTTCATTTAAATTAATTTATAACTTTTTTCCGATTTCTCTTTCTACGCCGCATTACTTTCTAATAAATATTTACCTTTATATGTTTCTGTCTCATACCAAATTATTTTTTTTTTCTGAAGATATGTTACGGATTTACCTGAAATGAGGATCGCAAAAATAAAAGTAAAATATCATTTAATTTTGGAAAAACAATAAAAGCTAAATATTGTTGTGAGATACACAGAGTAATTATGGAGTACTAATATATAAAATATTAAAAAAAAAAATGTATTTGTTATATATTAGTTATTTGGAATGGATCAATCCATGTATTTTGGGGCTGAATCCCACTTTGCTACTACACCTCTAATAATTCAATTCCAGTTTTGCTATGGAGTCATTGGATGGCTCGACTTATGGAGCCATTCACCCTTATTCACCAATAGTGTATTGACACGTGTCTTACAATAAATACAATTTGGACAGTTGTCAACACATTAAGTGGTGGATGGCTTCATAAGAAAATCATTCGATGACTCGATAGAATTTTTGAATTCAATAATATGGAGTATATTGTTTTTTATTTTTAGCAAACCCGAATTCCCTTTGGTTTTTCTGTATTCTCATTTTGATACTTCCAATAAAAATATGTACACAGGTCTTATTAGTAGTTCAAGATTCTATATTACCAGCATATATTATTTATACATCATACGTAGTACTTTAATATTGCAAATGAACTGCAAGTAAAAAAGGCAAATTTAGCCAAAGCGAATTCGTACACTTCAATCTTCATACGAGCTAAAAATTAACTGGTTAACTAAATGACCTTTAAACAAATTCGAGATCTGCTCGTTTATAAAACAAGTCAATCCGAACTCAAAGACGAGTCCAATTCTAACCTTATTAATGGATGGGCAAAAATTCAATTTTGGTCCGTTTTACTTGTCGAAAGTTTTTTTTTTTTTTTTTTTTGGTACATTAATTTTCCTCTCCTCAATATACGTATGTTACGTAGCAATTTGTACAATTATTGGGACATTATCGCGAAAATGGTTCATCATTTTTTGGGATTAATGTTCTAAAGATCAAATTGCAGCATAACGTATTGTTTTTTTATGAGTAAAGCCCCAAAAATAATACAAATCTATATCTATATAATGGACGAATCTATTTTGCCAAAATGGACGAAGTTTT